GCCTGGGGTACTCACGTTTGGAATGGGGGATCGAAATTCATGGTGTTTCAGTAAATGGGAGCCCCATTTGGGCCCCATTTACTGTCAAATATGACACTGACAAGCGGGAAGTTTCGCACCTGTTCTGGAGATTTCTAGAACTATCTGGAATACCTGGAGAAAAGGATATAAGCGACGACGAGAACCAGACGAAGGGGAGTGAAGTGACAGCCGCGCCTGAGTGCAGAAGAAGTTAAACCCGCGAGTCGGAAATCCGTATTTTCCGTGTGTTATTGTTATCGTTTGTGAAGTTGACATTAATTTTAGAAGTTAGTTTGTTCCTGTTCCGTAGTTAAAGTTGTACCGAGTGGAATAAAAGTTGTAAGTTGAAGAAAGAATTTGATCCTCGGCCATCCACGGTACAATATCATCACTATTTCTACTATCATCATCATTCTGCATTTTTAATAAAAAAATAAAAAAGTAACATGTTCCTTTTGAAACCTATTGCCAAGGTAAAACTGGAACGTTGTTACCTGTCACAGGAAAAAACCGTTTATCACTCCTCTAGTATATACCCGGCCCTAGAGATGACACGAAATTCTTGTCACAGATATTAAAAATAACCAATATTTAAAATAACAGGGCTCGCATACGATTTTGGTCCCAGAACCCGTACAACATCCGGGTGGACTTTTGGATATTTCAACAAAGCCAAAAGGCAAGTACCTGCCTTTTGATGCCTTTTGGTTCCCCGCGGCGTTGCCAATTGAACTTTTACTAAAAGGAGATATTTTATTCTCATGAAGTGGTAAGGTTTTGAATGTGTGGGAATGGGACCTGATGATTTTTCGAATCCACGCAACCATGATTCGGCAAATAGCAATATTTAGAGTTTTTAATTAAGCGATAATATGAATTGCAATCTGTGATTAGGATGAATATAAAAGATAGGAGGCATAAAGTAACTAAACATAAACGGGTCAAATGAGTAAAACATTTTGTCAAAAATATGTGCGTATTGCAGATGTTGCTAAGTGTTCGGATAATCTGTTACAGTAAATTTTCATAAAAAACCATAAAACGGCTTTTTCGTAGAAAGGAAAAAATTTATACAAAACCAGATTAAGTAGATAAAAAATCAGTCAGCGAACAAAGCCCAAAAACTAAATGAAATGGTTTTGTTTTTGTACTAGAGATCTATAAAGATGCATTCATCAGCCCTTGCATAATGGCTGAGCAGATTCGCACCCAAATTACTAGGAACTAGGAACAAGTGACGGGATATCCTTTAATAAAACAATGAGCTTCCGCCCTGCTTCAGATACGAACCAATATTTATGATGGGTAAAAATAACATGTGACAAAAAATCAGATACTTGGAACAGGTACGAGTTTGGAACAGTCACACAAGGAACATGTGACTCAAAAATACTCGTTTGTGTCATCCCTACCGGGCCACGGTTAATTAATCTACGAATCTCTAACGGGTAAGTAATATATGGTGCGCTCCTAACTTTTCGAAGCTGATATCGCGACCTCAACCACCAGCCGCGTCCTCAACGGTACACGTGTTCTACCTAACAGCGGAAAAAAACACGAGTTTACGCACTTATGTAAAGAACAAGCCAGCGTCTCTTGTGAGTGTTCCCTTCTCTTTTGTGTGTCCACACACGTGATCAATTAAAAATGAGTGTAAGTGTGAGTGAAAGTGTGATCATGAAAAGTCTGGTAAGCCAAAAATATCCGCCCCCCCAAATCCAAGCACCAATCCCGATCCAAATTCCATCCCAAACCGCAGATAACAAGGCCGTTTGCCTTCGCAGCAGGATGAGCTTATCCAGACCCTAACAAGCCAGATAAAAGAGCTGACCCACCAGCTCAAACCCCCCTGAAAGCCCCAACTCAGCCCTTAGCGGATAAAAATGGAAGTCGAGAACTTTCCTGTCCTCAAACCCACAGGTCCCCTAAATCTCCCCAAAGGCAGACCTCATCCAGTGCCACTTTTGCCCACAACTAGGAGCAAATTCTCGATGTTTTTAATAGTGAAATAATTCGCCATTTTCGAACACGAAACGATTATTTTGAGAATTTTACCGAAGTTGAATTCGCAGATCGTTTTTGGTTAACCAAAAACGTTGTTCATTACCTAGCAGACCTACTTCAGGAATAAATTTTGCCAGTGACACAGAGAAACCACTTATCTGTCACTCTAACCGGTCTTGACAGATTCTTCTTCTTCGTTATATGGTTTTCCCTACTTTACACACTCGATAGGTATGGACCTCTAGCTTTGACGTTTAGACACGTTGAGAAACCCACCATAATGTATGGAACTTTATTAAACTAAGTTATTACATTTAGAAATGTTTTCCGGGCTTTGAAGCCGTGGTCTATCGGAATTTCTTCCTGACGTTTCGTCCACAACTGCGGTGGACATTTTC